ACATTTTCACAACATCTGTTTCCTATCTTTATGTCATGATTTTGTCCCGCATTTTGTTGACGAGACAGCAACATATACTTAGTTTTCTCTGTGTTTACTTCTAGACCAACCTCTTTACTTGCGTCAATTAAAGTTTGTGTGGTATCTACATTATCACCCAGTAGATTCACATCATTAGCGTATACCAACAGCTGATGTGTCCCCGTTTAATTTCAGACCCACCTGGTTTCCCTGGACCTTCCTAATTGCATATTCTAAGGCAAAGTTGAAAAGGAGTGGTCATAAAGCATCTCCTTGTTTTAGACCATTCTGGATAGGAAATTTATCAGACAAATGTTTACCTACACGGACTTTACTATACGTTTCGTTTAAACACATTTTAATCAGCCTAACTAGTTTCATGGGTATCCCAAACTCTATCAGAATATTGTACAGTACTTGCCTCCTAACGACTCCTCGTGTACACCACAGTAAATTCTACCTTCATACTCCCTTCCACTGCTGTCACAAGGCGACGTATTCCCGACGTTTCGATAATTGACACCCCCTCAGTCTTTTAAGAAAATAGGGTCCACAAAATTCGTTTTTTTTAATAATCGAATAAATAATTAGCGCTGCAAGATATGCAGACTGGTTCGGGTCTCGGGATTCACAAGTCACTTTATTTAGAAATGATTTAGTTACCGACGGCATTCCACAGGTTCACAGTAAATATACTGAAACTGCACTGTCCTTCGCCGTCTTGTTGCATGACAGAGGTTCTAATTAGGCAGCGCTGAACGTAATGAGTACGAGTGTAAATGCAGAGACATGCGACCTGTTGGGGATAGGAACCGCGTAGCGCGTAGACAAGTGCCACTGTTTCTGAAGAATTTGCTGCCTGTAATTTTTTCTACCGAGAAGACTGCAGCAGTAGGTTCCTTCGAAACGTTCGTCCCCGTCTACCAGACTACACGTCGTATCTAATAACCCTGACAGCGTCGAGTCTCATGCTGCAAAGGAGACTAAGTTATGGTACGTGTACCTTGACCATGTTGTATGTAACTAACCTTGTGGCAGATTAGTGTGGGTTACAGGGGAAACAAATGTACGATCGTGGCATCCAACTCGCTAATAACTGCTGGATCAGAAAATATTAGAGACGTTTTTATAATTTAATTAAATACAATTTTAACCCAGAAAAAGTATACAACACGCTGAATGTGTGCTACTGAGTACCTTTTCGCTTAGAGGGGGGTGGAATCCAACTGGGTCCACTCGGCAAAGCGGCCAGTGGTTGGCCTATTGTAGCCTCCCCGGGTGAATATGATGATGGAGAATTTGGTGGAATGAAGATTGGCTGGGGAAACCGAAGTACTTGGAGAAAACCCGCCCCAGCGCCACTTTGTCCATCACAAATCCCACTTGACCAGACCCGGGATTGAACCCGGGGCGGCGTGTGTGCTACTGGGTAACGGCAAATGTCCAATATGTTGGTTTTTGTACATTTACGTTCTTTTTTTTTTAATGTAGACAATAGGGATGGGATGATGATACTCGTATTTGTGCACGTAGATGAAATTTCTTTAAACGACCTGCTGTCTTCATTATCAGACTTCTGTTCAGCTGAATGTGAAGGCACATTTTACCGGAGATAAGCGAGGGTACAGACCTCCTTTATTCTAAAAATACGACATTCCGGTTGAAAAAAAATATTCAGAATTCAATGTGTTCGGCGTAACAGAATTTCCGAAACTCCACGTCTTTGCAAACTGCCGACCTTAGATACGAACGTGTATCAGCAACTAAAAGGAGCTAAAATGCATATTTTCTTTTGAAAATTTGGTTTTCTGTTTTATATTTAGTCCAATGAAAACATAAAATGTATCTTTTCCACATAACATACCGGTATGGAAACTGTACTATAAAAATATAAATGAAAAACAACAGAAGAAATGGTAAGGAGATTTGAAAGGCACTTGACAGAAATTGATTTGCTGTTGACGAGTTGCCAGGGCAACCAACAGCTAAGGCGCTACAGTGGTGTGTACTTGAAGGTGTTTACTGTGTCACGCGGAATTGAAATTGTTATTATAATCACCGATAATTAAATTAGGTTACCAAAATACTCTAGCCTCATAGATTGGCATTGTGTTTAAAGCCAGTTTTAAAAGTTCAAAAATCCCGTGTGCAAACACAACGCTGGGTCAAGAGAATTTATAAACCCAAGTTCAACGTCCATGTTACGTTTTTGAAGCTAATAAAATTATTCATTTTCCAGTTACACAGTGTCAGAAACTCTTCTGCGTGGCAGTTGGTTGTAAACATTTATTTAGTTTTATATTTTGTGCTACATGTTTAGCAAGGAAGAAACGCAGTATTTACAATTTTATATCCAGTATTAATATGTTTAAGTAACATGTGTAAATATCATTAGATGCGCTATTAGATTACACAGCGCTTGCGCCATGATATGTTATCACTGTAAGGAAAGAAGCATTTATCAGAAGTAAAATGTTACAGATTTAATGTTATCCAACAGACGTATTAAACCAAAGGGTAATCTCCGATAAACCCTTCACAGAGACTTACGTATAATAATGGCGGCGATGACAACAACAACAGCAACATTAATGGAGCACGTTATAAACGAAACCAACACGGCGGAAAGCAAACCGTCCCAATCCCATGACAAGCAATTCAAGGAATCAAATCTAAGTGAACATGCGCGAGAAATCCTTAAACTCACAAGGGACACAGAATTCCTCCAGAGTTTCTTGAGGATGAACATCGGGGCTGAGTCCGAAGCCGACGACTCAAATCGTCCTCGACAAAAAGGAGCAAAGAAAGTCGCTGAGGAGAAGCCTGCACTGCAGCAACTACAAGATCAGCAACAGCAACAGCAGCTGCAACAGCTGGAACAGCAGGAAGAAGAACAAAAGCGACAGGCACAAACAGCTGCAGAACGTCAGCGTGATAAGGAACGCCACAAGAAGTTTCGAGCTGCAGAATCAGAACACGAAAACAATGCAGGAAAAACCACATTTTCCCAGTTGACTCGAGACTTGAAGTTGCGTAAAGGACCTAAAAAGGGACGAAGACGAAGTCGGATTCGACGCCAGGAAGAATGTTACACGGACAAAGATCGCGCTGCTGCTGTCAACATGGGCTCACATGACATCAAGCAGTCACTAAAAATGAAGAGACGCCAGGATCGAACTCGTGCTCTCCAGATTCCAGAAGAAGCCGAACCAGGAACTCTGTTGGCCCTCGGCAGTCGAGAAATGCGCAGCGGGAACGTCAACATTGCCATAAACTTCGTGCATAAGGTGAAGTGCGAGACAGCGTGCTGCAGATACCAGCCACAATGCGTCATTTTACACATCACTTTACTATAAAACATGCCACTTCCTCCCAAAGCAATTGCAGACATGAGACTGACAAAAATGTCTACGGCTAGATTTGTAACTACGCCTGTTATTTCTATAAATTTGGCTAATGCCGTATATATATAATTCTCATTGAAAGTATAAAGGAGCTGAAACAAGAGTCTAGCCATCCTCAAAGCGGGCTCTTTGGTTTCTCTTTCTCTGTGCAGGTGAACATGGACAATCCTCATCATTTCATATCATCATCATAAAAGCAATAATTACATTCACAACTAAACAGAAGATCATGACAAGACAGAAGCACACAAGCTTCTATTGCCACAAACATGAAGCTTTCATGGTGGCCGAAATTACTTCTTAGGCTACCAGCCATGTCAGTTGGTTAAGAATTACTGACATTTCAGGGATCATCTGTTTCCATCATCTGAGCGTGATGATGGAGTCTGAGACGGTCCCTGAAACATGGGTAATTTTTAATCAACTGACAAATTTGGTAGCCTAAAAAGATTTCATTCAATTCTACATAACTTAAACTGATATCCAGATACCTACAGACACATTTTGGACAAACAATGTCTATTGAATTATAATTTTAATACAAGATTATTTATAAATTAGTAACTGTAATGAATTCCTTGGGGCCACTGTGAATTCCAATGGGTCACTACAGGTTTACAGAACACAGTTTGGGAACCACTGTCCTAAATAATTAAATATGATTCACTCCACACTCAAAACTTAAATGTATATTGTTCCAGGCTCTGGAACTGAATCCAAAGGATAAGAATGCATTGGTAGCAAGAAGCAAATGCTATCTTCAGCTGGGAGAACCTCAACTGGCATTGAAGGATGCTGAGACAGCTCTCCATGGTGACAAGAACTTTATCCGCGGTAGGGAAGAGTTCAGTCTTATGGTATGACACATCCTGAGTTCAGCTATATGATTACCTACATTCTTACACTTAGAATTTATTTAGTACTCAGATCCTGTTACTATTTCAGCATGAAACTTTGCACTATTTTACATAATTTAAATCTTTATAAGGCGAATTTAAATACAAAATTATGCTACTTTGAAAAATAAGACAGAAAAAAAAAAGACAGAATGTGGTGCCCATCCCAACAAATAAAACTTCTAATTTATATAGCTCCACTAATGTCATTGTGATAGGTGAGTCACAGAGATTACAATGGACTCAATATGTAACTGAAACTGAAGAAATAAGAAATGTTTATGGATTTTTTGAGGCAGAATCTACATCAAAGACTAAGAAGAAAATGGAAAGACGATTCTTACAGCATATTTTGAAACATACTAACCATACCCAAAAATGTGTAAAATAAACACTGCATACCTTAATGATACTTATTACACGTAGTTCATGTTATCTACAAACCTCTAACAGTAAACCATTTATAAGAAGCTCAACTGATTAAGCCCTAAGCCAAGAAGATGAATGGCAGAATGGGTTCTGACTATGGTGTATAGCACTTCAGATTACTGAATTTTTGGACTCTGTTGACTGTCAGGTAGTCTAAGGAACATAACATTATAGAAAATGGAACTGTTAGTGAGAACTAATCCCATTCACTCTGTCATCAACATGGCTGTAAGAATGTATGTTGTGAATGTGAGACTAGCATTAATGTTGACAGTCTAATTTAAGTATGTTCGCACATTTCTGTTTCCAGAAAATTGTTGTATTCAGTTAGGTATATGTACTGCATTTTTGTTTTCATATGTTAATTACTTGCAGTATCATCACCATTCCTCGACAGGGCCTATCAGAGTATCATCAGTGGTGGACTGCTCTAGTCAAGACACTTAATTAGAACAAATTTACTTATTACTCCGTATTATCGACAGTAGATTGTAAATATGGTATTAATTAAATAAAAATTATGCTAATTAGTAACATGTAACATGCAAATAAGTGTGTGAGCTTTAAACCTGAAGACTATACTGAAATGATTTTTTGCAGCAATTATCAGAACTTCCTGTTTAGCTACTCAGTTGTCATTGCTTCTCTGCACAAACAGGTTACACCTGACAGCATAACAATGCAGTGGTGAAAAGTAATGCTCATGCACATTCCTTCTAATTTTCACATCAACAATTCAAATTGCAGTTTTTCATATGCTGTACTACCACAGACTGGAGTCTTCATGGTTACAGATAAAAACTCTAATGAAATTTGTGTCCATTAACTCACTGCCTTAAAATGGAAAGGTTTCCTTTATTATGGTTTATCCAGCCTTATATGTAGGATCTATATCCTTCCAATAAATATACGAGGAAGAGTCAGTAAATAGATCCCCAATTGCTATAAAATGTAACACAAGTGTGATTCGAACCCAAAAATAAAAGGTGTCTTTCTCCACATGTCCTCCATGAACACTGACACTCTTTCCTGGTGCACTGAAACCCGCAGCATAGAAATTTTTTACTTGTGTCTCAGTGTCTCGGCCACTTCTGCATCTCTGTTTCAATCTGTTCATCATCAGTGAAACGTATGCCACAAAGGTGTCATTTTAGAGGACCAAAACGATGAAAGTCACTAGGGCCCAAGTCTGGGCACTAAGGCAAATATTCAAAAAGTTCCCACTGTAGTTCTTGAATTTTCTCCTGGGATGCTCAAGAGGAATGAGGTCTGGCATTGTCAGAATGATGCAGTATCCCTTTTGCCATTTGGCCTAGACATTTTCTGAGGATTGCATCCTGAAGCTTATCACAGTTCCACAGTAAGATGCATGGTTCACATTTCCACCACGCTTCTTGGCTAGCAGTACTCCCTGAGAATCCCAAAATGTGGTAAGCATAACCTTCCCAGCTGATGGAGTAACCTTAAACTTTTTGGTTCAGTTTACACTGGTGTGTTTCCATTGCACTAAATAACGCTTGGATTCAGGTTGGCAGTGATGCACCCATGATTTGTTCCCAGTTAACAACATTGCTAACATTCTCCTTCATCTACATACCATAAGAGATGTTTCAATGACAACCCCATTGTGTTCATTTTTTCTTGGCTCTTCTGTTCTCTTGGCAACCACCGTGCACACACTTTCCAAAACTTCAAATGATCATGCACTGCGCTAAACCAGATAAACACCCTTGTGTAGTTGCTACACTCTCTATGGTTACCCTGTTGTCAGCTCGAATCAACTGTCACGATCTCAACATGGTGACAATTTCTGGCATCATCTGCAAGTTTAAAATGTATTCGAGTGAAATTCTCAACCCAGTTGTGAACCACTGTTGTTGTTGTTGTTGTGTTGAGATTGAGTCCACTTGGTGGCATGAAGACTGGCAGGGGATACTAAGTACTTGGAATAAGCCTGCCCCAGTGCCACTTTGTCCACCACAAATTTCACACAACCCTACCCAGACTTGAAACTGGGCCACTGCTATAGGAATATGATGCAGCATAAACAAGAAACCTTTCTTTACGAATATCCTTAGCAAGAAGTCATTTTGCCCACAAAAAATGAATGCACATCAGCATGCTGCTTTCAGTAGCACACTTCTTATGCATGTTGCCAGTTTGACTACTTTAACCAGCCTCTGAACATGCGCATGTGTGTCTGCTACCTAGACTGTCATAAAGCTCTCTTGTGCTGCTTATATGAAGTGAAATTTTCTTCACGTGGATTTCAGCATGCCATATTATGCACTGATGAAAGTTTTCATACTCTTGAGTCCCATGTTATTATCTGTAAGCTTTGCAAACCTTGAACTTTGCTTCTGTATGCTTTATGAGATACAAACCAAGTTTCTGACTCAAAGAAAATTACTTGTAACAAATTGAATTCACATTTCAGTACTTTGAGTAGTACACATATGTTTAAATCAAGTCAGATAAAGGTAACGTTACCCTTCTGTGTACTGACACTTGAAACTGAGTTCCCTGTTGCCTTCCGCTACAAATAAACATTTGAAATACATCAACTGTATCAGACATACTTATTGTTTCAGCCATTTTTCAGAAAGCTGAGTCTCTCTACCATCTGGGTGACTTCGAGCACAGTCTAATGTACTATCACAGAGGCTTACGCCTGCGCCCAGAGCTTGAAGGCTTCCGTCTTGGAGTTCAGAAGGCTCAGGAAGCAATTGAAAATACCATAGGACGTAAGTAATGAAGTAAACTGCTAAGCCATATCTTCTGTTGTTTATGCAACAAAAGTTTTTAAATGAAATCCCTTGCTACCACCACCACCACCACCACCATCACCACCACAGATTAAACTCTTAGTCTGTTTCAGTTAAAAGAACAGGACCGTTCCTTCCATCTTTCCACTGAACATTCCTGACATCTCTTGCTCTTCGGCTTAGATTTATAGGACAGTTCCCTACTGTCTCAGTTATTCAAGGCATTTCTATCGATACACTTTCACTACTGCACTCTAATACCTTCATTATGATTAAGATCAGTCGTAACTGAGGATATTCATAATGGTATTTCCATCTTTCTCATCTGTCCATTCCTTACTATAAAGTATCCAAAATAAAGTAAAAAGTAAAGCTATCCCTGTAACAGGCTGTGAAGGCCCACAGGGTTGTGAGACGTTGAGGGTCCCACATTATCTAGACCGGTGCTTCTCAACATTTATGAGACCACGGCCCAGTAAGTTCTTTTTTTATAAGACGAGGGCCCAGTCCCAACAAATTTACTCATAAATACCTTTCCAGTTTTGTTAAAGTTCATGCATTAAGCTAACGTAATATTAGTAATTAATTATAGCATAATCATAAAGAGTATTAGTACACTTATGTATATGGTGTGGCATGTTGACAAACACAAAATTACATTTAAATTAGTTATCAATCACTGGACTAATGAAATCTTGTAGCATTTTGTAATTTCCTCAGACCAACATCATTAAATTAATCTGTGCTAATTTTCATTGACGTATCCCATGCTGATCACCAAAAACTTATGTTATTCAGTGTAAAATTGATTATTGTATTATTAAATTGATTTTAATGATGTTGGTTTGAAAAAAACGGCAGTGAGAAAAATATTTATGCATTGTAACTCACCATAGAAGTCAGCTGAGTAGGGGAAGAAGCAGAAGGATGTCAACTTGCCGGCGAAACACTTATTATCACATACACACGCCAAATAATTATATATGTAAAGTATGTAATTTGATAAATAAAAATGTATGAATCTCTCAGTTCTAAACACTACTTCCAACACTAATTAATATTTTGATTTTAAAGACGCAGCACTTTAACACAGCAATTATAAGTTATTGGAAAGTTAAACTTAGTTTCTTTTATCACAACTGAGTTTGGAAGGTTTTAGTTAGGCTAGTGAGACTTCTGTTTCTGTTTTCCGTCCGTTAGCTTATTAATTCTGGGATGAATTGAAGTGAGAGCCAAACGGAGACAGTCAGAAAGTTGCAGGCAGTTCCTCTGTTTCGTTTTAAGCACAGTCATGGCAGAAAATGCAGTTTCACAAAGATATGTGGTGGAAAAACAAAGAAGAAACCTCACTGCTATTTCATGTAAATTTGGATATTCATTTTTCATTCTTATCCAGAATTTCGAATTACTCGTAGTATTAAAAGTACTTTCCAGTCCTTTGTCCGATGATAATTCAATAAGTTGAAGGGTTTCTTCATGGGAAAGGGCTGTCTCTTTGTGTTCAACAAAAGGGTTCACAATCCACATATTTTGCCTCCGGGGATCCTCATGTTCGAGATAATATTTTTCAAACAACATCTTCACTCAGGTTTCGAAACAAGCACTTACACAGTGCAATGCGAACTTGCGAAGAAACAGTATTCAGTATTACTAGAGTTGAGAGCCGGATACAGACTGCCTTGATCTTCAATTTCAGTGG